TCGACTCCTCCGGACACCCCGAGCTTGTCCTCATTGAGGAAGCTCTCCGGCAGCCTCATCCCCTTCAGCCCCCTCCACACCCGCAGCCCCTCCGGCAGAGGCGTGTGACGAGACAGCTTCACGATGCCGCTGACGATGCAGTGGATGGTCGTCGTGTACTTGTTGGGGAGCTTGTTGGAGTCTCGGAGGAGCTCGTTGGGAGCTCGAAGAACAGAGTTGTACTTGAAGTACATCGGCCCTGTCATAGCAAGCCTCTTGTCAGCCTTCTCACGCTCTCTTGCTCCTCTCTCCTCCCCCATGCTCCTTCTCCCTCTCTCTCGCTATCTCTCTCTCTTACCTGTGTAGAGCTGCAGCGCGATCAGCTCCGCCTCCTGCAGCCCCGCCTTGATCGCCGTGTCCAGCCCCTTCAGCTCCTCCATCCCTCGGATCACCCGCGTCCCGTCCGACAGGCTCCGCCTCCTCTCCGGGTCTGTCACGTTGAGCCACTCCTCCTTGGCTGTCGTCGTGATGTTGTAGTTACTCGTCGTGAACGCTTCCTCCGCGTCCTTGCCCTTGCAGTGCTCCTCCTCTATCGCCTTCATCAGCTCCGTCTGAGGTAGCCCGATCCGCTCCATCAGCCCCCCGTAGTACTCCTCGATCTTCCCGTACACGGCCTCGCGTACCTCTGCAAACTTGCTGTTGTGCGACGTCGGACCGTCTCCTCCCGCCCGCCCTCCTGCCTCCGCCGGCCTCCTCAGCGCCTCCTCGAGCCTCCTCCCTATCGCCGTCTGCCATAGAGCCGATAGAGCGCTCTCCGTCATCCCCTGTAGCCCCGCAAGAGGACTCGCCGCGCTCCCGCCGGGGATGCACTCCGCCATGACTCGGAGGATGTTGAGGTCGCCGAGGCTGCTGGCCTTGCGCTCGAGCTCCCACTCTCTTGCGACTCTGACCTCGTAGTCGTCGTACGAGAGCTTGTCAGGGCCTGCGTGCGGCATGAGGGCCGACGCGTCAACGCCGAGAGCCATGCGGAGGTTGTTGAGAATCGGTTTGTATTGATCGGAGTCTCGAGGGGTCTGAAAGAGCTTCTTGAGGTCAGAGCTGATGTCGTCAGGGATAGTCCAGCTGGTCGTCTGCTGGGCACTAGCTGGTGGATGAGCCGTGGGATTTCTGATGAGAGAGAGAGCGGAGGTGTGGGCGAGCAGCACTTCATTCTTGACTCTCAAGGTCAAGAGCTCACGCTCAAGCTCTAGGATCTCTCTCTGTACATTCTTCCCCATGCCGTACCAGACTAGCAGGAGGGGACAAGGCGCAACAGATCTCAACGCCTGTCACAAGCGTCATGTCATCGAGAGTTGCTCTGGCCCCTCCTCTCCTCTCCTCTCCTCTCTTCTCTTTCTTCTTTTCCTGCAGCTCAGCTGTGACTCGATCTTGTTATCATTGACTCCTAACTCCCTTAAGACATGTCACGAATGTCACTTGATCATGCTTGTTCACGGAAGAGCAGGGAGAAGTGACACCAGTGACATTTCTTGAGGAAGATAGATCTCATCTCATCTCATCTCATCTCTTCTCTTCTATTCTCTTTCCCCTTCTCTCCTGTTCTCTTCTCCTCTCTCTCTTGGCCCTCTTCCGCCTTTCTCACACCCTCTCTCATGCTATCTTGTAAACATCTCTCGCTGTCTTCTTCTTGTTCTTCCTCCCCCTTTCTCACCCTCTCTCTCTCCCTTCCCTTCTCATTCTCTCTTCTCTCGTTGCTCTCTCGTTGCTCTTCCCTATCAAGCTGCTTCTCTTCCAGCCTCCGCAGTCAGAAGAGAGAGAAAGACGAGACGGGGGAGGAAGAGGAGAGGGAGAGGAGACAAGTGAAGAACAGAAGAGCGTACTATCAGAGGAAGCGCGGGGGAGAGAAGGGAGAGGAGAGAGGATAAAAGAAAAGAGAGCGAAAGAGAGGAGACGAGGAGAGAGGAGGTGAGAGCGTCTCGCCTCCTGATGAGGGAGCGAAGGACAAGCGACGACACGAGGAGCGAGCAAGGCAGAGGGAAGAGATCAGGAGGGGAGAGAGACGAGACGGGAGCAGACGGGAGCAGAGAAATGAAGTGAAGTGAAGTGGAGGTGAAGTGAGTCTGAGGGGGGCGCAGAAAAGAGAAAGAGATGAGAAGAGAAGAGAAGAGAAGAGAAGAGAAGAGAAGAGAAGAGAAGAGAAGAGAAGAGAAGAGAAGAGATAAGAAGAGAAGAGAAGAGAAGAGAAGAGAAGAGAAGAGAAGAGAAGAGAAGAGAAGAGAAGAGAAGAGAAGAGAAGAGTCGTCATGCTCCATCACCCTCAAGACAAGCCTTCTGCGTCATGCTCTCAAGGTCCCACACCCTCAGCGTCTCATCCCAGCTACCGCTGACAGCCGTCTTGCCGTCCTTGCTCATCGCCACGCTCGTCACCCAGCGACTATGACCCTCAAGACGAGCCTTCTCCTCCATGCTCTCAAGGTCCCACACCCTCAGTGTCTTATCGTCACTCCCGCTGACTATGGTCGTGACTCTCGCTGGTCCTACTGGATGCTTCTGCTTCAGTCGCTCTGCTCCTGCGTTCACGGCCAGCGCTCTCACTTGGACCTCATCTCCTCTCTCGATCGCTTCGATCAGCTGCTGCCGCTTCCTCTCGTCCTCCTCCATCCTCTCCCGCTCGTCGTCGGAGACCTGGCTCATCCTCCTCCTCGCTCGTCCTGCAGCCCCAGCACAAGGACCTCTTGTCTTCCCTCGCTCCTCTTTCCCTTTATCTTTCCCTCTTTCCCTTCCTCCCTCCCTCCCTTCCTCCTTCCTCTCCTTCCCTTCCCTTCTCTTGTCTCTTTCTATCGCTTCTCTCTCCTTGTCTCTCCCTCACATCACCTGACCTCTCCCTTCCCTCTCCCTTCCCTTCTCTTTCCCTCCCCTCGATCCTCTCCTCTTCCTCTGCTTATCCTACCGAGCTCTGTCAGGACCCCTCCTTTATCCCTCCCTCCCACCCCTACCCCACTCCCTTACCCCCAACCTTCCGGATCTAGGGGGTGGTACGAGGAGGGGAGAGAAGGTAGTGGGGGTGGTCCAACTAATCCTACCAGAGAGGATCAGGCGGGAGGGAGGGGTGGAGGAGGAAGGGGCGGGAGGGGGTGGTGGGGTGGGGTCGAGAGTTCAACCTCTTCTCATTGGCCCGGGCCCGTGGAATGTCCCGGCCCGGGCCCCGGGCCCGGTCTCTCAGTGACGTTGCCACGGTCCTAGAGTCTTGAGCCTCCGAGGCTCCGGTGACTGAGACGTGAAGCGGGTGATGCTGTGCCGCAAGACTATGACGCGAACTTGGTGGGTGACATGGGGCAGACAGCCAGGCGTCAGCCGGGAGACGGGCAGGTGCCGCAGGAGAAGCAGGCCCGGAGGAGCTGTGTGTGGTCTGCCTGGAGGACCTGGAAGAAAAGACGAAGCGGGTACTGTGATTCCGTCCTGCTGTCACTGCTTCTGCGAGGACTGTATCATGAAGCTCCTGCAACCTTCTTCCGGCGGAGATGCTGTCTGTCCCCTATGCCGCGCGGCAAACTTTCAAAGGGCGACGTGTTCTCGGTAGAGCAAACGCGGGAGGATCAGCAGAACCTTGCTCGCAACGCATCCGACGAGGACGAGGACGGGGAGAGGCAGACGGATCGGGTGCAAGCGGAAGAGGAGGAGCGGGAAGAGGAGGAGCAGAGGCTGAGCCCCAAGATTGAAGCGCTTCTCGTCGATGAGCAGGAGGCTCAGCAGGCAGACAAGACAGTCAAGTCCGTCGTGTCTTCCACCTTCCTCTCATGTTTGGATGAGATAGAAAGTGCCATGATCGCTGCTGGCATCCCCGTCTTTCGCATCGATGGCACGACGAGCATCCTCTAGCCCCGGCGGCTGATACAAGACTTGCACTCTCATCCTCAAGGCGCCTTTCTCCTCCTCAGCTCCAAGGTCACAACCCTTCCCACCTCCTTCCCCCTGCTCCCCTCCCCTCGCTCTGACCTCCAGCTGGGCGGGAGGCGCGGGGCTCTCGCTCACCATGGCGTCGAGAGCTCACATGATGGCACCATAGCCCTTTTCTCTGAGACATGCCGAGACTATGTCTGAGAACTGTCCACATGTCATCGCTAAGTAAACTCTGAGTTGAGCTTGCTGTGCTATGAGCTCTGACAGAGCTCACATGATGGCACCATAGCCCTTTTTTCTGAGACATGCCGAGACTATGTCTGAGAACTGTCCACATGTCATCGCTAAGTAAACTCTGAGTTGAGCTTGCTGTGCTATGAGCTCATTGGTGGAACGCGGCAGTCGACGAGCAGGCGATGCATCGGCTCCACCGCATCGGGCAGACGCGCCCAGTCAGCATCATCGGCTACATGTGCCAAGGGACCGTTGAGCACAAGATCATGGAGATGCAGGAGAAGAAAGATTGGCTGGGGAAGGCGCCGATGATGAGGATGGAAGCCGACGAGCTGCTGGAAATGCGCCTGCGGCTGTTGAGGACGCTGATCCTGAGATAGAGTCAGGGATGTCGTGAGAGACGACTACTCGGTGGGAGACGACTAGTCGGTGGGAGACGACTAGTCGGTGGGAGACGACTACTCGGTGGGAGACGACTAGTCGGTGGGAGACGACTACTCGGTGGGAGACGACTACTCGGTGGGAGACGACTACTCGGTGGGAGACGACTACTCGGTGGGAGACGACTAGTCGGTGGGAGACGACTACTCGGTGGGAGACGACTACTCGGATCTGATGTGAAATTCATTCTTATGTTCATTCTGCTTCCACCAGCCTCGGAGATCCTCGTACTGATTTAACTTAACTTATTGTCCTCGTACTGATTTTAACTTAACTTCCACCAGCCTCGGAGATCCCTCGGCGTCGCCCACTTGTCCTCTCTCAAACTTGATGCTGCTGATAGACACAAGGGGGGGGAGACTCGGAACTTACCGTACCGACTGATCGACCGTTATAAACCGTTGCCCGTGTCGCCACCGTACCATCTACCGTACAGAGTCAGCGACTACTTGTATTCCGGCAATGAAACAGGGCCACAGTGAAATCGAGTACCTTCCGAGCCTGGGCGCAGGTTCTTGTTGCCAACTTGGGACTGCTCGGTCACCTGCTGGGGAGGCATGTGCGACAGCGGGTGCTGAGGCTGGCAAGTCATGAGGATGCTGGCTTCGCTTCTCCTCTCTTGGCTCTCGGCTCTCCCTCCCTTCTCTTCCCTCCTCCTCCTCCTTGTCTCCCCCCCCGAAGCCTCACGGGCTGCTGACGCTGACAGCGAGCGCTCACGGCTCCTCCGCTGCGTCGCTCAGAGGTCAAGTGCAGTGATGTCTGCTGTACTGGCGATGCCAGACCAGCCAGCTAGACTCCAGCAGCAGACAGCAGCCCCTTGTACCTCAAGAGGCTCATCCTCGTACAGCCTGAGGGAAGGACTCGCGCTACTGCTCCTTGCTGCTCGAGCTCACTCGCCTCGTGCCAGCTCTCGCTCCTCGCAAGCCTCTGCTCCTCGTCCTACCAGCAGTGAGGGAAGCCACCCGTACTTGCGACTCTCTCTCAGGCACCAGGGGTCATCCTCCCGAGCACATCTAGTCCTTGTATGCATCAAGCGCTTTGAGAGTCGTTTGACTGACTTTGTTGACGATCAAGGCTGAGCCTAGCCTTGAGTGCTGTCCCTTGGCTGGAGTAGGTCCAGTCTGAGGTGAGCTCGCTTTTACTAGGGCTCAGGTAGGTATGAGGGCGATTTCTATGGCTGCAGTTTTGTTCGCTCAGTCTGAGACTAGTCGATACCAAAACCTCTAAGATAATCCTTGACATCTGAGTTATCAGCCAAAGTGAAGCATGTCTCGCCATCATTGTCCTTCTCCCTCAGCACCTCCTCCCCGCATGTCTCTACAACATACCGCAGCACCTCCAACTGCCCTCCCTCACTCGCTAAGTGCGCGCATGTCCTGCCGTGCTTGTCCTTCTCCCTCAGCACCTCCTCCCCGCATGTCTCTACAACATACCGCAGCACCTCCAAGTGCCCTGTGAAACTCACCCAGTGCGCGCATGTCGAGCCGTCATTGGTCTTCTCCCTCAGTACCTCCTCCCCGCATGTCTCTACAACATACCGCACTACCTCCATGTTCCCGCAGTGCGCGCATGTCGAGCCGTCATTGGTCTTCTCCCTCAGCAGCTCCTCCCCGCATGTCTCTACAACATACCGCACTACCTCCATGTGCCCTCCCTCACTTGCCAAGTGCGCGCCTGTTTTTCCGTGCTTGTCCTTCTCCCTCAGCACCTCCTCCCCGCATGTCTCCCCAACATACCGCAGCACCTCCAAGTGCCCTCCCTCACTCGCCCAGTGCGCGCATGTCGAGCCGTCCTTGGTCTTCTCCCTCAGCACCTCCTCCCCGCATGTCTCTACAACATACCGCAGCACCTCCAAGTGCCCTCCCTCACTCGCCGCATGCGCGCCTGTTTTTCCGTGCTTGTCCTTCTCCCTCAGCAGCTCCTCCCCGCATGTCTCTACAACATACCGCACTACCTCCAGGTGCCCTCCAGCACTCGCCCAGTGCGCGCATGTCTTGCCGGCAATGTCCTTCTCCTTCATCAAGGTCCTCAGAGTCTCTTTCCCGCATTGTTTCTCTACCGTCTTCAGCACCTCCACATGCCCATACTCCGCCGCCCAGTGCACCATCGTCTTCCCTTTCTCGGCCTTCGTTCCTACCTCTGCTCCTGCCTCTATCAGCTCCCTCACGCTCCCCGCCCTCCCCAGCATCCCCGCTACATGCAGCCCTGTCCTCCCGTCCTCCATCCGCTCGTCCATGTCGTACCCGCCCGCCTTCAGCAGCCCGATCAGCTCCCCCTGTCCTCGTACCACCGCCGTCACTGTCGGCGGCTCCCCGTGCTGGCCTGTCCTTGACATCGACAAGCCGTACATCCCGCACAGTCTCTTGCTCTGCTCTCGTCTGCCGTCATCGCCTGCTGGAGTCCGCGAGCTGATCTCGTACATCAGACCCGCCATCGTCCTCCAGTACACTGACTGCATCGACTCCTCCGCAAGGGCTTGACATTTAAGGTCTCCCTGAGTGTCTTCGATCCAGTGCCTGAGCTTGTTGATCGCCATGTCCTTGACTCGGTTCGACAGCTCGATCGCCTCCTTGTATCTTGACTCCTCGTTGTACCAGC